CCATTCCAATCGGCTGACCTATAGTGCCAAACACGGCGGCAGCCTGCATAATGCAACTGCGATTTCAGCGTGAGTGGCACCACACTTCGGGCAAGACAATGGTCCGAGGAGCCTAAAGGGGCGTCGACGGAAATCTGATATCCGTCCGGGTGAGAGGTCAGCAGAAGGTCCAACAGGGAAGGTGCATCATCCTTCATATCTGGAATCCTCGTAGACGAGGTAACCAGTTGTGTCTGACCATATGCCAAGGCAAAATCATGAACAGATCTCCCCGCATGATCCGTTAAACGTGAACCAAGCCATTCGGCGTGATGGGCGTTAAATTCGCCGAGGATCACGATCTGTGCGGAGGGGATCTGCTGTTGCAACGAATCTATAGCCATTTGGACGTGGTCGAAGAGTCGGTCTGTTTCGGCAATACCGCTATGGGACCTATAGATGCACCCGTAGACGCGCGGATGGTCATAGCTGTCTACGCGATATAATATATAACAGATGTCCATTCCGACGTAAATGCAAACTCCAGCCCGAGGCACAAAGGAGTGTTTCAGTTTGTACCCCGGGTAGGAAAGATACGAGACATCAGCCGGAGAGGACACCTGCGTCTCGGTCAGAAAGAGCAGAGCCGGCCTCGCCGTCTCGAGATGATAGTGGACGGCGTTTAGGTTAGAGTGAAGTCCCCTGATATTGCAGATATTCACGGATAGCGTGGCAGGGTCGGCTTGGTCTTGTTGCCCCGTTTGCCCCGAGCAGTTTTAGTTTTGAGCGGAATTCCCCCCCCCCAGAATACGCGGGGCAGCATGAGCACCCACGCTCAGGAGTGGAGAAACATGGTCGTAGATGCTCAGCGAGGGATTCTCCAGGGGTGCTGGTACCCTCCTGGGGTAGTCTATCATCATTTAATTCCGCTACCATGTTGATGGAGGGGGGATTTGGGCCTCCGGCCACCTGCACTCACCAGAAACAGACCGACAACAAAAAAAAAACCAACAGCGTTGGCCGCTCCCCGGGCAGAACACCTTGCCCGGCGGGAGATCTCCCCTTTTCCTTCCACCGCCAAAAATGTTAAATTATGAATTAAATCGAATAACAAGTCGAAATAGAAAACTAGTTACATTATACAATATTATGTCAATGAGAAAATACTCACAGAATACCAGCGTAAAATAGTAGCTTAATGCTGCTGTGTTTCGTATTAAAACGAGGCATTCCATCTTAGTCCTCACGGGTGACAACGTATCTGCATTTTGATTTGTAATCGAGGATAGATGTAGATGTCTACAGGCCGCAGCCCCGCAGCAACCACTTACCATCAGGTGTATTGTGTGCTTGTTTGTCACCCTATCCTGTAAAAAAACCAGTGTTTATTTTTGCAGTTAAAGGTACAAGACCAGTCAAGTACATGAACCCCTCCTTTTATTTTTACTTCCTTTAATTTCAATATATATGTATTAATTTATAGTTAAATGAAATCAATTATTAAATTCAATTTAAATTTCAATAAAACAGTCACTTCACTCGGTGACTGCCGCGGTAAAACTATTGCATAGCATTTTTTATCAACTTATGCAATTATAATTATTTATTTATCTTATTTATGCAGTTAAGTCTTTGATATTAAATCAAGTTCACTTGCGTGGTGACCGATAAGAAAACAATTTTTTTTCTCTTATTGAATAAATGAGAAGTTAATATTGTTTAAAATATTTTTAATATCTTACAATACATGTAGGTTATTCAGGAATTTTTATCATTGAGTTAGCAGCTAGTGTACACGCACACAAACACCGTGCCGAAGTCTGCCGAGTGCCGAAGACTGCCGAACTAAAACGACGTTAGACGATGCACGGCTTTCAACGCCACACCTCCGTGCCCGTCAGAGTGGGGAGCGTGAGGTTTTTTTCGTTACGGAATTTCTGGATTCGGTCCCCGCGCTCAAGGCCCGCGATAGAAGCTATGCAATAGCTTAATAAAAATAGAATTCAATAAAGGTATGTTAATTTTAAAACAAAGTCTTAAAGTTACAGCCTATAAACGTCCCACTGCTGGGCACGGGCCTCCCCTCATTTCTGAGAGGGTTTCAGGGTAAGGAAGTGTCCGCCGCGCTGCCTCAATGCGTGTTGGCGAACTTCACATGTCTTCGTAATATTTTTTTCTCTTATTGCTCAGACATGCAGGCTTACTCACGATGTTTTCCTTCACCGCCGAGCACGTGGTAAATCAGCACTTAAAATTGCAATTAAACAATATCATTGGTGCCAGCGGGGATCGAACCCGTGTTACTCGGGTTCTGTTATATTTATAGCGAGCCTTAACCATCTGAGCTACCACGACTCTAAGTCTTATTTGCAAAAAATTCATTCATATCATAGAAACTCTTGACAAATTGTTTTCGTGTCCTGCCTGCTAGTTTGTCTTTCTGCCGATATATCTGTCTGTCTGTTTGCTCCGACTAATCTCAGAAACGGCTGGACCGATTTTGACGGGACTTTCACTGGCTGATAGCTGATGTTATAAGGAGTAAGAAAAAGAATTGGGGATTTGCGTAAAACATAAAACCTATGAAATGCAAACAGAACAAATTCGCGCGATAGAAAAACAAGTCGTGGGGAACAGCTAGCTTTAAATCTAGAACATTATAATAATATTCTCCAGACCGAATTTCGGTCACGGCGGCCAGCCTCAACGGAGACTAGCCATCGGTGCAGGACAGTATTATAGTGCCTAAGTGTATGAACAAGCACAGGTGCACTCTATTCCCTAACTCTCACAATCCGATGGGACGGTAAACCGACACGACGAGATGAAGCGAAGGACCACCGGTTTTACGTGCTTTACGAGGCACGGGGATGAGACACCGCCAACTTCCTGACTCTGGGCAGCTACTGAGAATTTGTTGACGGAAAAACTCAATAATAGATTTTTTGGCTCGAACCGGGATTCGAACCCAGGACCTCATGATCAGTAGTCACACTACTACAACTACTAGACCAACGAGGCAGTTATTAACAACATTGTATCATATTTGACTAATGTTAATATAATCATCTATATCGTTAACGTGAAGTTGCAGCATAAGCGGCAACAAAAGTAAATGAGGCCGAAGATGGGCAGCGGCATTTTTTTTTTAACAGCTCTACGTGTGGGAACTAAAGCATATAGCCTCTTTGTAAGGCAATGTATGTTGGAGGCATATTTACAACAATGCATATTTGACAGGCTGTAATGGATGGATATTATGATCAAAATATATAACAATTGTTTATTAAATGGTCAGAGCATTATGCTTTGCCTTTTTTATAACTTAACAATATTTTAATTCTTGCTTATTTATATATAAAAAATATATATATAAATTTTATATATATATATATATATATATATTGTTAACACTACTGAACTATAAAAGTGTTCTCAAGGAAACGTATGGGAAACTTTATTAAGTGAATCAAATTGGGGCGCGAGAACAACCTATCAGACAACACTGATTGAGGTTAAATGCTTCCTTATCTATCTTGTATCGTGTAATGTCACATCAAATTCTGTCCTCACAAGTGAGATAAGTTATAAGTTATATATATTAAGTTCAGGCAACATTTTTGCAAGAATTGTTGAAGGTTCACCGCTTGAATTTGGTTAGTGACCTTAGCTGTTGGGTTTTCCGTAATGTATAAGACTTTGATATTATTAATATTTTTCCATTTTCATTTAAAATTATTTTTAATCATTAGCCATAATATCCCAGTGCTGGGCCACGCTTCTCTAGGCGGGTGGTTCAGTGATCTCAATAGCAGACATCTCACAATTTATTTATTTAAGCACATCAACGATTGTGCAACTACAACAAGGCGGAAATAATAAGCACATATCAACTTCGATACTAACTGAAGGTATACACACACACACACACACACACACACACACACACACCAATATATATATACATATCTATGTATAAATATATATATCTATATATATTACATAAAATGTAAAATACAAAAACTTAGGATAAAACAAAATATTACGTGTACAAAGCAATGACTTGCACCTACTTACTTAAATAATATATCGCTTACTGTGTCCTTAAACTTCACTAGAGACATAACATGAACATCTATTGACCCACCGCACTTGTACATAGTTGGGAAATCCTGGAGGCCGGTGAAAAGTTAACGATGCTCCCTTTGCCGGTTGGGGTAGTGTTATTTATTTATGTATGACATTAAATTATAAAAATGCATTATTAATACATTTATATATAATACATTGGTTTGAAGAAGATTTTGAATAATAATTGGCTTCAAATTCTCTACTGTTTATTTTATCAAATTTAATTCTTAATTTGTCACTTTGAGTATACTCAAAGATTTGTCATTTTCAAGTATTAAAAAAGGAAGTTCACGTGTGTTTAAATATTTTTATAAAATGATGTTAATAGATTAGGCATTTATGGATTAATTATTCATTATTCGGTCATCAGAGCCTACACCACTAATCACTAGGTTAATACTTAGAGAAAAGTTTATATTTTTTAATTATTTTTAACACTTTTGTACGGAATTACGAGCATGGTAGTAGCACGCATGGGCCGGCCCGACTAGGGAAGCTCTCACAGCGTGAACTGATATTTTATGCTGCTGCGTTTCTTATGATGAGTGTATAGAACCGAATACCTTTTTAACTGGAAACGAGGTATTCCATCGCATTCCTCAGGCGTTAAAACGAATCCGTATTTTAATTCTGAATCTACGTTAATTGTAAATGTCTATGTGCATCAACTTACCATCAGGTAGAAAGTGTCATTTGTCACCCTTATATTATTAAAAAAGATATCACTTGCAGGTCTGAACCATAAAATATTATGCACATGTGAAGATTTCTGGAAAATATATTAGACATTTCCGAAAACAGTTTTTAATGTTTGGTTCCATGTCCTCATTTAGTAATTTTCATCGATAATTAAAAGTGATAACTTTATAAAGATAACGTATTGCTTTCAGACGCAGAAGGCACGGGTGGCGCTGACCTCCAGAGAAAATTGGATATGCTCAACGGTGCCATCGATGCCGAGCGAGCGGAGCAGGCGCGCAGGCAGTTGCAATATGTTGCGCATTGTGAGTGAATGAGACCATTTCTAAGTGTCAAACGTAATAATCATTAAGAACATTACACCGCAGCTTTAAATGGCTTGACATGTTTATTAGTTATACCCAATTAAGGTTTATATTTTGTGGCTTCTATTACTAATTCTTGATGCTTATAGCTTTGTTTAAACTGTGTAAGAAAGGTTGTGTGAAGTGTTTAAGTGTAAAACAATTTATGGTAATGGTGTTTATGCGTATCTCTTGTAAACCACCTGTAAATATTTTTTAAAGTATTAAAGGTCGTGTCGCGTAAAAAACGATGTAAAATAATGTCACCATTTTACGATAGCTTCGTGTTTATAGAATTAGGGTGACAAACGAGCACACAGTCCACCTGATGTCAAGTGGATGCTGTGGCCCATAGACATCTACATTTAACATCGATTAAGAATCAAAATACAGATGTGTTTTCACCCCTGTGGACTAAGATGGAATGCCTCGTTTCCAGTAAAAAGGGTGCCCGGTTCCCTGCACTCACTTTAAGAAACAGAGCAGCAGTAAGTTGTTTTTGCGCTGGTGTTCTAAGAAAGCGTGGTTCTTCTTTGTTCGTGACCCTTTCGTGCTACAACCATAATAATATAGCTGCAGCGTGGCTCCACCACGTATAAAAAACTTTTCCCCCAGTGTTAACCTACTGACTAGTTGTAGAGATTATAACGATCAAATGTTAATGAATAAGTTTTCCATAAACGTCAAATGTATCAATATATATATATATATATATATATATATATATATATATATATATATATATATATATATATAATTTATTATATAAATTATTATATTTATAAAAAATCTTACATCTAAAACAATTTGTAACTGCAGAATCTTATTTTGATATTTATTTAATTATGTTGTGTTTTACATAAAGTTAAAGTTACAGCCTACTACGTCCCGCTACTGGGCATAGGCGTCCTCTGATATCTAAGAGGGTTAAGGAGCTGGACTAGGAAAATTACGCCGCGCTGCCCTAATGTAATGGGTGGACTTCCCATGTCTTCGAAATATATTTTTTTTAATTTCTAAGACATGAAGGTTTTTGTTTTAAGTTTTAAGGCGTGAATTTCATTGATATTGCTGGGGTACGAACTCAGGTTGCTCGTGTACTGTGATATTTACAACTAGCGCTCAGCCCCTGAGCTACCACATTTTGTTTTTACATATGTTATAATTAATTGATTAATTTAAAAATGTTAACTAATAGCATATAATTAATATCAATGACAATAATATATACAAGTATACAAAACAGATTAGATTTATTTAATTTTTTACTTATTAGTTGTGACTTCATCCGCGTAGAATTAAAACAAAAAAGTGCAGATCAACTCGTATAATATTTGATTATTAGGCAAGTAGCTTACTAATTGAAAAAGCACTTAAAACTAAGTGTTTTTGCTATTATCTAGAAAACTATGTGTGGAATGGAAAAATATTTAAGATAAAATTGTAGATCTACTCATTTCACGTAAAAAGGTCTTATTATTTTATTTTTTAACACTAATATTTTATTTATTATGAATATGAAATGTAATGGTTTTTTGTTTAGAAAATGTTGCAATTCTAAAAGTGTTGTTCAAAAGTTTAATCATAAAAAACATTTTTTTATTTCACAAAATTTTTGCTATCTATCCGTTTGTAAGCTTTTATCACAATTGGTTCAGCCATTCCCGAGATCAGACAGCCAAACGGACAGACAAAAATGTCAAAATAGTTATTTATATCTTAACAGTTTGCAAACAGCCTTCTGAAATTAAGAGAAACCAGTTATCTTGACATTACAGGAAAAAAAAACAACTTTATTAATATTTAAAAAGGGACTATCTACCACCAAACATAGACATCTAAGATCTTGCTATCCTACGGTCAATAAGAGAAAGTTTGGCTTCCTGCGGCTACAAAAAAGAAAGAGTGCCTATAAAAAATTATTTTTATTTCATTTCGCTGAATAATACTATCATTGATGAAGCCTATCACAGGTCCTTGAGAACTGTGAAAACACTATGTTTCTTACTAACTATATCTTACTACTGGCCGAATTGTCCATGGCAACAATTTTCGAATATTATCAATCATATCGAAAGCTATCAATTACAACAGTGTTTATTTATTTTACTTTTAATCTTTATTGCATTCACAAAGGGCATTTACTACCAATCATCCAAATTTTCTACAAAAATAATAAAAAGTTTTTGTTAACTATTCTAAGCCAGCGCTCAACTACAATCGTAAAATAGCAGATTAATACTGTTGTGTTTCGTATGGTGTGTGTAAAGAACCGGAGACCTTTTTTTACTGGAAACGAGACATTCCATCTTATCTATCCTATATATATATATATATATATATATATATATATATATATATATATATATATATATATATATATATATATATATATATATATATATATATATATATATGGGTGGACTTCCCATGTCTTCGAAAAATATATTTTTTAAGTTCTAAGACATGAAGGTTTTTGTTTTAAGTTTTAAGGCGTGAATTTCATTGATATTGATGGGGTACGAACTCAGGTTGCTCGTGTACTGTGATATTTACAACTAGCGATCAGCCCCTGAGCTACCACGTCACGGCGGTGTTTTTACATATGTTATACTTAATTGATTAATTTAAAAATGTTAACTAATAGCATATAATTAATATCAATGACAATAATATATACAAGTATACAAAACAGATTAGATTTATTTAATTTTTTACTTCTTAGTTGTGACTTCTTCCGCGTAGAATTAAAACAAAAAAGTGCAGATCAACTCGTATAATATTTGATTATTAGGCAAGTAGCTTACTAATTGAAAAAGCACTTAAAACTAAGTGTTTTTGCTATTATCTAGAAAACTATGTGTGGAATGGAAAAATATTTAAGATAAAATTTTAGATCTATTCATTTCACGTAAAAAGGTCTTATTATTTTATTTTTTAACACTAATATTTTATTTATTATGAATATGAAATGTAATGGTTTTTTGTTTAGAAAATGTTGCAATTCTAAAAGTGTTGTTCAAAAGTTTAATCATAAAAACATTTTTTTTATTTCACAAAATTTTTGCTATCTATCCGTTTGTAAGCTTTTATCACAATTGGTTCAGCCATTCCCGAGATCAGACAGCCAAACGGACAGACAAAAATATCAAAATAGTTATTTATATCTTAACAGTTTGCAAACAGCCTTCTGAACTTAAGAGAAACCAGTTATTTTGACATTACAGAAAAAAACAACTTTATTAATATTTAAAAAGGGACTATCTACCACCAAACATAGACATCTAAGATCTTGCTATCCTACGGTCAATAAGAGAAAGTTTGGCTTCCTGCGGCTACAAAAAAAGAAAGACTGCCTATAAAAAAATTCTTTTTATTTCATTTCGCTGAATAATACTATCATTGATGAAGCCTATCACAGTTCCTTGAGAACTGTGAAAACACTATGTTTCTTACTAACTATATCTTACTACTGGCCGAATTGTACATGGCAACAATTTCCGAATATTATCAATCATATCGAAAGCTATCAATTACAACAGTGTTCATTTATTTTACTTTTAATCTTTATTGCATTCACAAAGGGCATTTACTACCAATCATCCAAATTTTCTACAAAAATAATAAAAAGTTTTTGTTAACTATTCTAAGCCAGCGCTCAACTACAATCGTAAAATAGCAGATTAATACTGTTGTGTTTCGTATGGTGTGTGTAAAGAACCGGAGACCTTTTTTACTGGAAACGAGACATTCCATCTTATCTATCCTTATATATATATATATATATATATATATATATATATATATATATATATATATATATATATATTATGCCGTGTAGTGGCGGTTAAGAATATCCACTACCCCATATCTTCCCGTGGGTGTCGTAAGAGGCGACAGAGGGAGACAGGCAGGAGATGGGCAGCAGCGTCTTCCTGATGACAACTGTGACGTAATAAAAAACTGCGGTTGCCAACCCACTCGCCAAGCGTGGCAACTATGGCAAATACCCCCCAATGAATAAATACACAAACAGACGGCCCCCAGTCCCCGGCGGCCCTGCTATTCCTGGCTACGGTGGCGACCATGGTAACGGCGGGGCAGGGGGTGCTAAGAATCTCCGGTGGAGGTTCGGTTGCCACCTACGACGACTCGACCTGGCAACATATAACGCACGCACCCTGAGGACTGACGAGAAGATACTGGAGCTGGAAGAAGAGGTAGACAAGTTGCGCTGGCATATTATTGGATTATCCGAGGTCCGAAGAGAGGGGGAGGACACGGCAATCCTCGAGTCCGGCAACTTGTTCTATCACCGGGAGGGCGACCATCTGTCCCAAGGAGGTGTCGGATTTATCGTCCACAAATCTCTCGTCAACAACGTTGTAAAGATTGGGAGTGTGTCGACGAGGGTCACGTACCTGATACTCAGAATCACCAAACGGTATTCGCTAAAGGTCATTCAGGTTTACGCACCAACCTCGGCACATCCCGATGAGGAGGTGGAGGAAATGTATGAGGATATTTCCAGAGCCATGCATTCCTCCAAAACCTACTACACGGTGTTGATGGGAGACTTCAACGCAAAACTGGGCACAAGAGAAAGCGGTGAGCTGAAGGTAGGGAAATTTGGAGTAGGGCAACGGAACCGAAGGGGCCAGCAGCTGGCCGACTTTATGGAGAAAGAGGGACTCTTTATGATGAACTCTTTCTTCCAGAAGCGGCCCCACAGGAAGTGGACCTGGTCGAGCCCCGACGGTTCGACAAAAAATGAGATTGACTTCATTATGACGACCAGACGCCAACTGTTCAGTGATGTCTCAGTGATCGCAAGGGTGAAAACTGGCAGCGATCACCGAATGGTTAGAGGCACACTGAACCTAAACGTTAAGTTGGAGAGGTCTCGTCTAATGAAGTCAACGCTCCGTCCCCCTCGTGCTCTAATCCAGAATCCCGAAACC